TCTGGTAAATATCTTTTTGGAGGAGAAGAAAAAAATAATGAAGTTACAGAAGGTGACTATACACAGTTATGAAAAAAAACAGCTTGTCAGAGAGAGAGATTAAGAAAAAGGATCGCCAGGGGGAGACAATGCACAGGAATGCAATGAAAAGGATCGCCAAATTAAAATCGTTTTTAGCATTCAGCAAACTCCAAAAGAGGTGGATTTCTTTCCCATACTTTAACTTGATGGCCTGTTAACGTAGTAATGGCTGTTTCGTGTAACAATTTACGATAGTGGACCAGTTACTACCTCCGGGTTCAGCTTCACTTTGTTCTAAGGACTTTCAGTCAGTTGTAGTTCGATCATCAAGTGTAATTCTATGTCTTCATTACAACTTCCAAATAAAATTGTCAGCTGTTTTTCTTGAAATACGAACGGACACTTGTCTCTTTTTTTATTTTAGGAAAATAGCTCACTATTGTTTTACTTCTTATTTCAGTTCCCTAACTCTCCTAAGCTTTCGTGTTGTCTTCTGTTTAGTTGTGACTATTTTAACTTATTCTCTTCTATGACTTTTAAAACCCTACACACGCTATCTGTATTACCATTAACCTAGATGTTATATTACTGTATACCTCTTTTCTTATGTCATGTTTATTTATGTCTATATTCTAACATACCCTGGCTATATTACCTTTAGCCTAGCCCTTATGTTACTGTATACCTATTGCTATCACAATAATTGCTTATTTCCCCTTTCTTTACGTTTATAACCTTATATACCCTGCCTATATTATCTTTAGGCAAGTCCTTCTTGTAACTGTGTTTTCTTATTTCCCTTTTTTTTTATGTTTATGACCTTACATACCCTGTCTATAAAATCTTACCTTTAAGCTAGCTAGCCCTTCTTGTCACCTTGTTTTTCTATTCCCCCTTTCTTCACATGTATGACTTTACATCCTCCATCTATATTACGAATAACGTAGCTCTCCTGTTACTGAATGTATTTTTATATGTATGATATTTAGCAATGTTTTCACTACTTCTGTCAATATATCTGCAATTTTTTTATGACTAAACCTCTCTCCACCCTCTAACTTTTCTCGGCTTTCGTTCTACTTTTCAAACCTAATTTCTTTGAGCTGTTTTTTTCTCTCCCGGTCGCCATCTCTGTTATATATCTTCTCATTGTGAGCTTCTACGTGAAAGGTATATTTTTAGAACACAATTAAAACAGCTTTATTGCAGATTCGTCATTAATGTAGAATTACATAGTCAGCTCATGCAGTCATGGAGCTATTGACGAGGTTACAAGTGTATCACGAAAACAAAGTATTTAGTGTGTAGTTTCATTCTGAATAATTAAACTGGCAGTAGCCGAACTCTATGTTACTACGTGGAAAAAAATTACTATGGGTTCATTAGGCACTACAGGCCCGGCATCGCCAGGTGGTTAGGGAGCTCGACTCGCAATCTGTGGGTCGCGGGTTCGAATCCCCGTCCCACCAAACATGCTCGCCCTTTCAGCCGTGGGGGCGTTATAATGTGACGGTCAATCCCACTATTCGTTGGTAAAAGATTAGCCCAAGAGTTGGCGGTGGATGGTGATGACTAGCTGCCTTCCCTCTAGTCCTACACTGCTAAGTTAGGGACGGCTAGCGCAGATAACCCTCGTGTAGCTTTGCGCGAAATTCAAAAACAAACAAACAAACATTATGCACTTGTTAGTGCTCCCGCAAGGTTATCAATGCTCTTTTTGTCGGTTTTGACAAGGTTCTTAAATCATGAAATTATAAATACGCGTATTTGGCTAAGAGCATAAAAGTCGAGGGTACGTTTTATACTGGTATTTATACTACAGTTTCACTAAATTAAGCACACGTGAAAGTCATGGAAACGTTAATGCTAAACACTTGGCTGTATACTATTATCTATAAATTAATAAGGCAAAAATTATGGTGAAATAAAATCAATTAATTGTTAGGCGTTTCGATTATTCTTAAATAAAGTGATCGAGCGCAGAAAGTATACATTCTTAGAAAATTAAATTATGATAGCTTATTCTTAAATATCACACTTCTTCAATGACCCGTTCTTGCTTTGACTTAAGAATCTTGATAAGGCACTAAAAACCAAAATAATGTTTTGTTTTTAGGTTATTCAGAATATTTGAGAGATGGTGAGTAATTTTCTGGTGGAAATGTTTACCACTTTATACTTGGTGACATAGATGATTAAAAAGAGTTAAAAAATAGCACCATAGTCTCTAAATGAATAGGAATACTTTCGCTGTCGTGTCTCTCGGTGGGGCCCCCCAGTGGCACAGCGGTATGTCTGCGGACTTACAACGCTAGAATCTGGGTTTCGATACCCGTGGTGGGCAGAGCACAGATAGCCCTTGTGTAGCTTTGTGCATAATCAACAACAACTCTCGGTGGGTTAACAGACTTAAACGCTAAAGTACGGGTTTCGATAGTGTCATCTAGTGGATGTAACCTCACAGTGTTCACCTATCTTAGTAGCAAACTTCTGGTTTCATATGTTTGTTTTTACAGTGTTCACCTATCATAGTAGCAAACTGCTGATTTCATATGTTTGTTTTTACTTATGAACATCCTGAATATCTTAGACGGAAGATTACGAGAGAAAAAAGGTGTTTCCTCAACAAGCAGAAATAAATTAATTTAAAAGATTATTTAGTGCATTTTTAAAGAATATTATAATATTCAATATGCATTAACATGTAATAATGAGGTGTATGAAATGAAGGTAAACAATATGTACTACCCTTTCACAGGTGTATTCCACTCAGTAAAATAATGGCATGGCCTGGTGGTTAGGGTACTCGACATGCAATCTGCGGGTCATGGGTTCGAATCCCTGTCACATGCTCGCCCTTTCAGCCATGGGGGTGTCAAATGTGATGGTCAATCCCAATCCCGCTATTCCCTGGTAAAAGAGTAGCCCAAGAATTTGCGGCAGGTGGTGTTGACTAGACGCCTTCCCTCTATTCTCTCTAGTCTATCATTGGTAAATTAAGGATGGCTAGTGTATTATAACCCTCAAGTGGCTTTGTACGAAAATCGAAACAAACCAAACCAGTAAAATAAAATTTCACCAGAAAAACTATATAATTATCAGAAAAGATATTAAATTTAGTGAAGATATGCCTTAACTTTTATCATGCCAATGTGGAGTGATCCTATTACATTGTAGCTATGCTTAAATGTATTTAGTGGAAATGTACCTTAACTTTTATCATGCCAATGTGGAGTGATCTATTACATTGTAGCTATGCTTCAATGTATTTAGTGGAAATGTACCTTAACTTTTATCATGCCATTGTAGAGTGAGTGACCTATTAAGGTTGAGTTATCCGTAAATATTTCCATGCTAACGTATGAAGCTCATAAGTTTTGCAAAATATCTTTGCTTGGATCATTTGTCGACTTCGGTCGTTTGTTCTTTATTTTAAGAAATGACTTCACATTCTCTGAGCCGCCAGTTGACAGGAATTCAGACTTTGAAGTATACATATTATATATTCTATCTATCTTCTGTTTTAATCCTACACGAGATTATCAAATAACAGTGACAGTATATAAAAACCCATCTAGTCGAATTAATAATGAAAAATATTTAATAGTTAAAACAAATGGACAATCGCTTTTGTTTTAAGGTAAAGGGTCAAAGTGTGAAAACGAAAGCTAAAACAAATTTCGGTTCAGTTTACTTTTATTTAGTTCTTTTACATTCAAAGCAATTCTACCCAAGTATCATCTGTCTTACTCCATTTTATAATTTGTAACTAGCATTTTAGTTTATTTCATGCAAAATTACAGTCATTCTTACAAAGGAAATACGATTTCACATTGGTATTTAACCTTTTGATTACCAACTTTGCGAAAATAATGGAAATTAAAGTTGGCTAAGAAAGGTAACTTTGTTGACAAAATAATTCTGTTTGATATCTTGACAATAGGAGCGTTAAAAACATTAACGTTAATACCTTAAAATATTTATTAATTTTACTGTTAGATCAAAGAGGATGATAGAGCACAGATGGTAGATTGGTAAAATAAAATAGCATGGGGCATGATATTTTGGTAATATTATTTAACCTTTGTATTGGCTTTTTGTGGCCCATATCTTCAATGGACATCGAGTTATCTTGTGATATAGAAAGCAAGCAAAGAAAACAGTACGGTAGGTGTAGTATAAAATAGACAAAAAATAGTACTATATAACAGATTATAAAACATTAAGATAGATATAGTATAAAGCATGTTAAAAAACAATATTGTGAATGAAATATAGAACAGACTAAGAAAGCAGTATGGTGGTGTCGTATAGAACAGGTTAAGAAAACATCATAATGGATGTAGTATATAGCAGGTTAATAAAACATTATAATACATGTAGTACAAAGCAGGTTAATAAAACAGTATAATGGATATAATATATAGCAGATTAATAAAACAGTATAATGAATGTGGTATATAGCAGGCTAATAAAACAGTATAATGGATATAGTATATAGCAGGCTAATAAAACAGTACAATGGATGTAGTATACAGCAGGTTAATAAAACAGTATAATGGATGTAGTATAGACCAGGTTAATAAAACAGTATAATGGATGTAGTATAGAGCAAGTTAAGAAAACAGTATAATGGACCTAGTGTATAGCAGGTTAATAAAACAGTATAATGAATGTGGTATATAGCAGGTTAAGAAAAAGTATAATCCACGTAGTATATAGCAGGTTAATAAAACAGTATAATGGATGTAGTATATAGCAGGTTAATAAAACAGTATAATGGATGTAGTTTAAAGCAGGTTAAGAATATAATATGGTGGATAAAGTATAGAATTAATTAATAAAATTGTATGTTCGGGGAATTATAGAACAGACTAAGAAACCAGATACCCCATAAAAATAAAGAACATGGTTGTGTATGACATCCAGCTTTGTTATAGAAAGACATAATTTGATGAAATGATTCTTCCCTCAACTAGGTGTCCTATCTGGCAAGAACGGAAGCCAACATTCAGCACACATGAGCTCCCTTGCACAGCCTCCCCGTCTACGAGAAAAGGTGAAGCATATAATTTCTTCAAAGATGCTTTGCTGTGGCCGTAGAAAGGTAGGTGAATAAAATGCTTTAAAGCTACAAGCTATAAGTAGCGAAAATCTTTCTTTAACTTCATCAGTTTATATGAAGATATGATTGACAAGTGGTATAAAATATGTTTGTGTGTATGAAAGTTAAATTATTTTAAAAATTACACTTACCAACGCTTAAGAAATATTTTGCATGTGAGTGTATGTTTTTAAAATGCAGAAAACATTAAATCGAGCTCATACTTTTCTTGAAGAGATTTTTTATTTTCTTTGATTTAGCGCTATTGTTATTGAAAAGTTGAAATATTTTCTACGAAACATTTTCAGTAATGATTGAATTTGCTAGTCAGTTTGTTTATTCAGTGCTGATAGGAGAGAATTGGTAAGTGAAGTTGTTCTTGTATTAGCTTCTACTGTGAACTTAAACCTATCAGCGATCATTAGATGAGCTAACTTATATAACTTGTTATCGAATAAATAACACGCTTTCATTATATATATATAAGTAGAGTGGACTTTGCATTCTTCTTTTTACCAGGCCCGGCATGGCCAGATAGTTAGAACACTAGACTCGCAATCTACAGGTCGCGGGCTCGAATTCCCGTCACACCAAACATGTTCGTCCTTTTAGCCGTGGGGGCGTTATAATGTGATGGTCAATGTCACTATTCGTTGGTAAAAAAGATGCCCCAAGAGTTGGTTGTATGCTAAATTAGGGACGGCTAGCGCAGATAGCCCTCGTGTAGCTTTGCGTGAAATTCATAACAAACCAAACCATTTTTATTACCGAATAATCCAAAAAGACCCGCTCAAGAGTATGTTACAATACCACTAACAAAACTTATGTAGGTATTTTGTTTAAATATGTTCTATAAAACTAAAGCAAAGCACAAACATTCGAAAACTTTCCAGATAAACTTTTTTCAATATAGTATATATATATTTTTAAATTTAAAACATATCCAAAAAAATGTGAACATCCTTACAAACTGTGTTATGCTTTCTTTCCAAAAATTTATTTCTTTGTTTGATTTCGAGCAAAGCTATCTGTACGGAGACTATCTACACTAGCCGTCCATAACTTTAAGGCAATAGACTGGAGAAAATACAGCTATTGAACATCACCCATCGCCAACTCTTGGGATACTCTTGTCAAACCGGATGATGTGATTTGACTGTAACTTTTATAATGCACCTAAGGCCCCACAGTATGGAGCGTGATTTTTTGTATCTGTGTATATGTGTTGTTGTTTTTTTTGCGGTAACAGGACGCGAACTACGGTACCTCAAATCCACAACCCAGCACGCTAATCACTGAGCAGCTTTCCGTTTCATTTCTTTGTATTATCAAAAGAAATTTGTAATAATTGGTTTGGACATGTACGAGATTGTTTCTTTCTGTTTTCTTTTTGTTCTTATTCGAGTTTTGTCCTATTTTCGATATTAAAGTATAACTACAATCTCAATACTTTATTCTATTCGTTATGTGTTATGTGTAAGTACATGTTTTAACAGAACAGTGTCCTACGTGGATATCTGTTCTAGTCCACGTTTTGTAATCTCGTTATTAACGGGAGTATCAACACATTATCACAAGAATTGTATGTAGCTAGTGTCACTGCGATATCGATAACGTGAGAATTAACTTTATCCTCACTATTTCCATTTTATGACGTTTGTATTCGTAACTTTCAAAGACAACGGAACTGTGACTATTCCAATTTGGAGCAACGTATCAGTTATGTGAAATTCCTGAATCTTAATGCGTGTATTATCACATTGGGCATATTTCAAATTTTTAATTTGTAAGTCTCTATTAAAATTATTATAATTCAGCATCTTTATACATGTGTTTCGTATTTTATCTTTACATTAACATGCACTGCTTCTAATTGTATATACCATGCACCATACTTTTTCCATGTATTGCTAGAGACTGCTAACATTATTGTATATTTTAAAAAGGTAAATACTAAATATGCTTGGAAATGTTTGCTGCTACTATTTTTAATTATACGCCGGTTCTTACTTGATGAGTCTTTTTTCTTATGTTTTAATCATTCAGAAAAATAAACATAAATAATAATATATATATATGGAATATCCTAAATAATAAAATTTTGAATGTTTTCCAAAGATTTCCTGCACCAATGTTGTTAATTTCCCACGTGAATTAATCGACCACATAATGACTTGGAAGAAAATTCTTAGGACAACGTATAGAATTAAAATATAAGCTGTGTGCAAGTCCTCTTTAATTTTCGGAAAATTATCTTATGTATGCTTCATGATCATTTATACAACAGCATGGTCTATAGTACCGATTGTTAAATGTGGACCAACACTTAATAGTGTTAATTCATAAACCTTCCCATGCGTGGTGAATTTAACTCGTGTATGTTCCACAATCTTGAATCGGATTATCAATAAGGCCCTATCTCAACATCATTTTCACTCACCGAACCATAAGCTACGTGTAATCCATGGTTGGTCAGTCGCACTACGGTAAAGACATGTCTGTTTTCACAGTATAGTTTAATTTCATAATTAGTTTGAAAACTTATTATTTATATTTCGTTGGAGAGAATGAAAGAACTAAGAAGCATTTCAAAGTGGCTGCGTTTCTAACGCACTTTTCTACTACTAAGTCGTGTTAAATGCTTAATTACGCCCTGAATATTGTATTAAATTAACATTCATCATAAAGATGTATTTTAAGCGTTTTCTCTAACTAAAGGTCCAAATTGACTCACGAGTTTTCTAAAACAAATGTCTAAAGCTGAACAAATTAAAGATTAAGTTACTTTACATATATTATTAACAACTCAATACATCAGATTGTTTTATACGTTTTCTCAACAAACTCAACTTTAACTATCGTGCGATTTCACTTACAAAACACAACTATATATGCTGTTAAACTGTAATGTTTTGTACCAACAAAGGTGTTTTGTAAAACACCTTGCCATTTATACTATTTATTTTATTTGGTTGAAGAGATTTCCGACACTTATTGTCATATCTGCGTAATGACCTGATGAAGCGATTTGTCGATGAATGGGTTGGTCGTGTGTTAGAGATCTGGATTTCCAGGCTGGCGAGCAGCGTTCGAATCCATGCGATACCACAAAATATTCCCCTCCCCCTCATTTTAGGATGTAGGTGCCTTATAAGAGTGATAGGTAATCCCTTAACATCGATGGTTGGTAGTACGGTACTGTTGACTGGCTGCTTCCCTCTAGACAATAATTGAAACTAAGCCAGTAGCTTTGTCATAAATACAAGATTCTGTTTTAAACTTTGATAACGTACAGGAGTCTGCTTTAAACTCTCATAGACTTACAACGCTAGAATCCGGGTTTCGATACCCGTGGTGGCCAGAGCACAGATAGCCAATTGAGTAGCTTTGTGCTTAACCTCAAAAAACAAACAAACTCTCATAATATGATAAAACTAGAACGTTCATTCGTAAAACATAGTTGTGTATACGTAATGGCCTAATTAGGACTTTTTCAATAACGTAGTCTGAGTCGAACCTCGTTAGATATTATTGGGATTACGGCCGAAAATACTGCAAACAGCGTTGGTACTAAACTAAGAAAATAATGTATTATTATCATCGTAAGCAAAACGTAAGAAGAGTACGTCTCATCACCTGTGTAGGTAATTTGTTTTGATCAGGAGTTAATTTTAATGACAAACTTACACATGTCTGATGCTTAGTTCCATGATATCACGTGCCTAGAAAAAAAGTTTTCTAAAAAGCAGTTCTCACTTTTGCTGCTAGTATTCATGATGTGAAGAGTTTTAAGAAGAACGTTTCCACTTAAAATGCACACAAATATTCGCTGTTGATAAGCAGCATTTGATGTTTAAAAAGAACGTTGAATTAACATGTACTTTTAAGAAGATGAATATAAATATTCTTCATTTCGAAAAAATAAATTCAATTGAAGATATTTTGTTCCAGTTCATTGTAAATGGCACATACGCACTTTCTTGGGTAAATTGAAGAGCAGACATGTATTTCTTTTTTAACTACAACCATTTTCAGATTAACAAATGTTCTTATCTAATATTAAAAACTTCTAAACATTTCATTAGTGCATTTAATTTCCTTACATACTTATCTAAACCTACTTTGGTCCCAATCTATCTCACCCAAATGCTGATGTCTTATTACACTGGTCGACCAAATCGAACGTTTTCCCTCATTAAAAATGTAAATACACTTTTCTATACCAGTTTTTGCATTTTGCACGCTGATTCCAAATCTGTTTTTGGTTTTCGTCTAGCATATCTAGTTATTGAAATATGATTGGTGATATTTTCAGCACATTAGGCTAGTTAACGTTACAACTTTATTAATTTTTCAGTATAATTCCCATAAATGTTATACACACACCATATACTTGGTTAAATTTATACAGTACACATTTATGAATTAAATGTAAAATAACTTGAATTATAATTAAGGCAATAACCTTTCAAATTTGATCGGTCTCATCACGAAACTTGACGCGCTAGAAGAAAAACCACAAACACATTTGAAATCAGCGTCCCAAGAGTTATCTAGCCCACCTATAATTATATCTGATAAAAATGACTTGTTGGCCAGTGTTATTATTACGTCTTCGTCCAGTCTGTTAAAACACCCCTAGTGACGTTGACATTTATCTTTATCCCATTTCTTTATTTTTTCTTTTTTTGTCCTTAAATTTTATACGCTTCATTCATTATCGATCAAACTACCATACAAAGAAAACATCATTTCCAATCACGATAGGTAGTGATAATACAGTTTCCAGTTTTTATCCGGAAAATACCACCCATAAATCAATAGATTAAAAGGTTCCTTCCTGGAATCAAGATCATAGGTCCCTGTTAAAAACCAATCTATTAATGATCACCGTATATTTGAATCAATAAATGTAATCTCGTAAGTTCAAATCCTTTGTTATCTCGCGCGATGACCAACACTTTAAAAGGTATTTCGGTTCTTAATAGGACTGGACGTGGCTA